GGGATGAGAGCTCAAGGCAGCAGTGTTGGTGGTTGTGGTGATTGGTATTCTCAAGATTTCCACTTAAGGATGACAGAAGCAAGCTAGGCTGCAGTCTCTGAATAATTAATTGATTTGCACACAAATCACTGTTAATGGGGATCTTTCATGACTTAAGATTTAAGATACACTCAGTGCCCTATATTTACTACATGTTTGCTTTAATCATTGCTACACCAAGGAATGACAAAGGTGATGGCAATTACAGGATCACAGGATGCTCATAATCCAGAACATCTCTTCTGAGATTACAACACTCCTCTATAGAGCCAAACAGCAGTGAATTATATCAAGCCAGCCAACTCACAGTTACTATCAAATCTAAAAACCTAAGCCTTTCTTGTTAGATACATCAGCAATTGAAAGAAGAATTTCTGACGTGGGATAATTCTCTTGTACACTATAGTTTTGTCACTCCTATTGGTTTTTATAAAATACTGATTAGTCAGTAGCCAGGCAGGAAGTATAGGCAGGGCTACCAAGCTAGGAGAATTCTGGGAAGAGGAAAGGCAGGATGAGAATGCCTTACTGAGAAAAGGTACCAAGCCATGAGGCTAAACATAGATAATAATTAGGGTTAATTTAAGTTGTAAGAGCTTGTTAGCATTAAGACTGAGAAATAGCCCAAACAGTTTATAATTAATACAAGCCTCTGTGAGTTTACTTGGAACTAAATGGCTGAGGGACTGGGCAGGACAGTAACTCCCATCTAAAAATTTCATCCATATAGCTGGTATATTTGTCTTTATTTTGGTGTTTAATACCCCCCCCCCCCCCATTTCTCTGAACCAGATTGACAAATGAAATGCATCATAGGAAAAGAAAAGTGTGAACTTGCTCATCACCTAGGGTTGCAGGAGCCAAACTGTCCCATCACAGTGATGCTTCTGGAAGTCATGAGAAGACAGGACTCATGTCCTCAAAAGGAAAAGATAGCTAATCCCTGTCTGTCTTATTCTGGGAGGCTGAAAGAGACACTCTGGCTGATGGGAGTACTGACAAGTACATGAGATCCCAAGGAGGTGAATTCATGGGGAATTTTGGCAAGAATTAGGGATGAAAAAACCTGAACCCCTCCTAAACCCTTGGGAATATTTAACGAGCAGAAAGAACAGCAAGAAGAGGAAAAAGACTCAACTTTTCCAGTGGATTCTTGTTTTTAACTATGAACTCTCATGGAAAAATGAAAAGAATAAAATACATGGCATTTTGTCTAGTATTATCTCAACTGCATAAAAATCAAATTGATCATACCACTACCCAAACTGGTATCTGTCTTCACATTCCTTTTTAGGTGAAAAGTCATATTTTAACTCCAGGCTCAAAGCCCCCTGTTCCCACCTTCAGCATAAGCATGAGTGTGTGCACTTTGATAGACAGACAGACACACACACACACACACACAGAGAGAGAGAGAGAGAGAGAGAGGGAGGGAGAGAGAGGGGAAGGGGGGAGGG